TGGCAGAACACGAGAGAAGTGTTAGGAGAAGCACGACGCGTAGCGGAGTGCTTCTGGACACTTCTCGAGTGCTCTGCCAATCCCCAAGTGCTTTATGACAGCACACAGCACGGCAAGCAAGTTTTTTATTTCTTTTATAAAATACAATAATAGATAGAAATGACGCAACGGAAAGTGCGCGCGCGTGCAATGTGTTCTCATAAAGCACGCGCTCCAAACCAATCAAAACGCGACATTCATAACAGTTATTTTATAATGTCCGATAAGTCATATTAGCCTGATAAAGAATTTTTTTTTTTAAAGCGCTTTCCAGAGATGGGTTCCTTTTCTAATCCAAAGTAATTCAGTCACTTGTGTCYAAACGAGCTAGGATTTCTTTATAAACAATTCCTTACCTTACAAAATCTAAAGATAAAGTACAACTTGTATATATATCATGTTATGTTGGTGTTTCAGTATTTTCTTTTGTATTGTGGTACTTTTAGAATAAACATTTTTATAAGATCAAAGTTTTCCTCTTTCTCTTTTCCCTTCGTTTCTCKTCCTTTCGTCTCTTTTCCTTTCTTGCTTACTTTTTGCCCCTTTGCTTTCCTTTCTTTATCTTCTAACACGGGTTTTTAATAAATCCAAAAGTAAAGGGCAAAAAAAACGACCGTTTAATGGATTAGACAACGATGGTAGATTGCATTGTCATCCACCATTTGCACACGAAATCTTTCGAAAAACTTTCAAAATTCGATAATTAGAAAATTCTCTGAGCTCCTTATGTCGCCACAAAAATTTCTATGTCCTAGAAAATTTTCCTTTGCTATCAAGGTAGTTCCGGACCCTTCCTACTGCGCATCTATTTCGCGCATCTCGTTTTTTACTCTTTACTTTCGCTGCGTTGAAAATTGATTTAAATAATGTCAGAAGTTGAATCCTTTTCTATAACTTAACAAAGTATTTCGCTAATTCATGGAAGTTTTGAGGCAAAAATGAAATGTTTTCAAAACATGCTTAGATTTTCATTGCTTGACTTGATCACTCTTTTGATTCAAAACAATATAACTTTATAACTTTATGAAAATGAAGTAACAAAAACTGAATTTGACATGTTATTCTCAAAATCACTTCGAAATACGTCTTAGATTCTCTGGAGGTTACAAAGACGATTTGACACGTTTCGGACAGGTTAATGTACWAGAACCCAGTCCCGCGCGGACAAGATTTGTGTTTTTTTGACCAAAAACCTTGGATTTAGTCGCTCATAGCTCGTCTATTAGTACGTTGACCCCCAATTTTTTTCTTTTTATTTAAACCTAGATATTTTCTTTGGATTTAGTGCGGGAAGAAAAAATTCATAGTTAAAATTSTCATGAATTTTCAACATTTTTACAACCACACACGCATATAACTGCGCCGAATTGCAAGCAATTTCGCTTCTAGAATTTAATTTTCACGCCACTTTCAAAAGATTGCATGKTTTTTTTTATCAAGGTATGTTTCCTAGATTCAACAACTATCGTTTAAACAGTTTCCTGTTTTTCTTTATTAAATCCAATCGAGCAATTCGAATTCATTGGCGGGGACAGATTTTCGGCAAAAACGCGCGGAAAACTGAAAAATCACACCTTTTTGACGCCTTATATCTCGATAACCAATACGGGGACCCCCTTCTTTTTTTATTGTTTGAATGCCCTAACAATAAACNATTAAAAATCGACGAGTCGTATCGTGAAAAATCACCGCTGCGAATCGTCCCGTGTAACGTCAGCTTAAGGTCACGCTCATTTCTAAGAATCGCACAATAACTCAAAAGAAACCGATAAAAAATGCTCCTCCTAAATTATGCATTCATGGCGTGACAACATTTCAAGGAAGTAATTTAGTCACGCTCATTTCCAAGAATCGCGTAACAATAGACTGACAAACAACATTATTCAGACAACTCCCTCAACCCGTCGCAACTACCGAAGACATGGAATCGTTTGTTGAAGATCTTAAGAAGGAACTACAATGTTCCCTGTGTAATGATACTTTCACTGAACCAAAGATCTTGTCTTGTTTCCACACATTTTGTAAGCCTTGCGTCAAACGACACGCTAAGAAAATCGACCAAATCAACATCTTCAAGTGTCCTCGATGCAAATCACAGACTCCTCTACCAGAACTAAGCAGCATCGAAGATCTACAGCCAAGTCTAATACATTCAAGAATCTTGAAGGGCCTGGCGTTGGTAGAAGGAGAAAAGGCTTCTTCTGCTTCTGAGAGTCATTCGTCAGCTTCTTGGTA